GGCAGAGGCAGGCAGATCTCTGTGAGTTCAAGGCCAGCCTGTTCTACAAAATGAGTTCCAGGACAGCCAGGGCTCTGTAACACAGAGAAACCCTATTTTGAAAAACAAAACAAAACAACAAAGAATCAAACAAAAAAATTGCCATTATCATGGTGCCTCTTCACAATAGAAACCCAAACTAAGACAATAATTTAAAAAACTGTACTGTTTTTAAAAGAAATATTTTGTGGCTAAGTTGTTTTACCTGCATTTATGTATATAGCTGTATCATGCCTAAAGCCTGGAGAAGCCAGAGAGGGCACTAGCTCCCTTGGAACTTGAGTTATAGATGGCTGTGAGCTATTAAATGCGCACTGGGAACCAAACCTGAGTCATCTACAAGAGTAGCCAGTGCTCTTAACAGCTGAGCCACCTCTCCAGCCCTAAAAACATTTTTTTAAGTAGTTAAATACTTCTCCTTCCAGGAAGGAGATTGCCCAAACCTTAGTGCCCTTCTCCTGCCTTGGGAACCAGTCTTGACCCCTTTTTGGAGGAACCAAGGCTGCCTTTTAGAGTGGGGAGAAAAAACTGCCAAGAGCCCTGGGCAAACACTGGAGGCCCAGAAGGCAGGCACTGTCCTGAGAGAACACATGCGCAGGACTCTACCCCATTCTTCTAGGCTGGCGCTGGCAGGCGCTGGCAGAAACCCTGCCTGTTTCCTCAGAGTCACCAGTGCTGTCATGGGGAGGGGCTTCTCCCATCCTCCTTTAAACCAGGCTCCCATGCTGTACCTTCCTTGCCTCTGGGCTTCCTTTCAGTTCCCCTTTCCCTCTCCACTGTGCCTGCATGACCTCACGAGTGCTTCCCCCACCCAGGCAGTGTGCCGCCAAAGGAAAATGGCCATCAAGGTCACTGCCTAAATACAGTGATAGTCTGGAGGCCATGGCAGAGACCTTTGCCTCCAGTCCAAGGCCCAGGCAATGCCATGGTCTGGTCAGATACGTTACAGGCTGAAAACAGAAACACAGGTAAGGAAGCCTGAGTTACAAATCATGATTCTTTAAGGGCAGGAAAGAGGGCTTGAGGTACACATCCATCCACTGTAATTCTTATTTTTTTACATGGCCAGGTGGTATCCCAGCACCCTGGAGGCAGAGGCAGGAGGATCTCTATGAGTTGGAGGGCAGCCTGGTCTACTGAGCAAGCTCCAGGACAACCAAGGCTACACAGAGAAACCCTGTCTCAAAAAAACAAAAAACAGGGGCTGGAGAGATGGCTCAGAGGTTAAGAGCACTGACTGCTCTTCCAGAGGTCCTGAGTTCAATTCCCAACAACCACAACCATCTGTGATGAGATCTGGTACCCTCTTCTGGTGTGCAGATATGCATGGAAGCAGAATGTTGTATACATAGTAAATATATAAAATCTTTAAAAAAAAAAAAAAAACAGACGAAAGACTATTTTTTATGTTTGTATGTGGGGAGGCACGCAGGGATCAGGGACCACCTCAGGTTTTTTGAGATAAGGTCTCACATTTGGCCTGGAAATCACTGGATGGGCTAGGCTGGGTAGCCATCAAGCCCCAGTAATCCTGCTGTCGCCACCTCACCAGCGTGATTACACCATGGGTGTAATCCACCCGTGGTCCACCATGGGCAGCTTTTTAAAGAGGGCTCTGGTAATCATACACCAGGAGCTGGCTCTGAGTAGGTTAAATGTAGAGAATCCGGTTGTGTGATCCCTTCCTCCTCTCAGCAGGTTTGGCTGCTTCTGAACACATAAGAAGAAGAGCTTGAGTGAGGCTGGGGATGTGGCTCAATGGGCAGGGAGCTTGTTTAGTAAACACAAAGCCTTGGGTTCCACCCCCAGAACACATAAAACCGGGTGAGGTGCTCCATTCGGAGACAGCGGGTGTCAGAAGTTCAAAGTCATCCTTGGCTACATAGTGAGTTCAAGGTCAACATGGACTTCATGAGACCACCTAAGAAAAAAAGCGGAGAACTTGAACTAAAACTGATCAGTGACCTATGATTTCCAAAAACTAAGGTGGGGATCTTGTGGGCTGCAAATGTGCACAGTCCCTTCCTTGTTCTCTCTCATCAATGGGTTACTTTGTCATAGTGCCACTATCAAACAGCAGTCTGGGGAAGAGAACAGACTACAGGAAACAGACACTTTCTTCCCTGTGTGCTTCTGCAGTGTTTGACATTCACAAGCAAGAGGAGAAGTTAAATCACAGACACGGAAGATGGACAAGACTAAAGCAGGGCCACCGGGCCTGAAATCAACAGAGCCGTGAACTTCCAACCTCAGCCTGACCCTCATCACTCTCCTGCCTCACGTGGGAGTTCAAGATGTTCACACACAGGAGGCAGCCAGGAGGATGAGCGGGAAGACGGACTGGCAAGCAGCATCCACTCACTAGCCAGGACTGCTGCCTAGGCTGGACAAGAAGGCCAGTTCCAGGCAATGGCTATGCTGTCCACACTGCGGGTCAGGTTCCAACCACCATGTTGGGGAGCCCCACTGACAACCAGAGGGGCCACCTGGGAGAACTATGCAGCAGGCAGGAGGGCCCCAGTGTTTCCTGTGGATTCGGAATACTGTCAGTTCTGAGAGCAGCACACCATGGTGATGAATCTCGAGGCCGAGACGTGCACTCAGCAGGACAGTCTACCCAGGACACGAGCTGCCTGGAAGAGCCAGCCTTCTCCTCCCAACAACAGTCACACTCAGCTCCTATCTGAGCGTCTTGACCACCACACGCGGTATGCCGCTCAACCAAACGTTTGACAGCCAACAGCAGAGTTTCAGGTTTTTCATGACCTTCTTTCACACCGAGCTCCAAGAGATGAGTTTTGAGGGAGATCACAGAGTCACCATGGAGCCCACTATTGCCAGCCGGTGGCGGTTTCTCTAAGCCCAGGAGCAGGTCTCTCAATATGAATGGCTCTATGCTAGAGTCAAGCGCAGGATGGACAAGGCCTCAAGTGTTCTGTGACGGGGTGGGAAGGACCACAATGTCACGCGGCTTCAAATAGAAACCTGATGTCAGAGAAGGATCACACAAAAAGAGAAGTATATTGCAAGCCGAATGGGCAGGGCTCAGGAAAAGCAGGCAACACTTGTCTCACATATGTTCCTGGGCCTCA